TTTTTTTCTTTCTTTTCTTTTCCTTTCTTTTTTCCCTCTCTTCGCCGCGCGAAAGGAGGTCGCGCCGAATAAATTTCCAGCTGAATCCTTTAGCGCATTATGCTCCGCGCGAACAATGGCCCCTCGCTACCTCTCTCTCTCTCTCTCTCTTAAAGCCCAGCCCATGGACAAGCCCGCCTCTTTCGATCTTCCTCCGCCGGATTTTAAAGGGTTGGAAATGATCCGGCCTCTCTTACTTCGAGAGATGAGAGGTAACTTCCTCCTCCTTCCATCGAGTAATTGTATTCTTGTAACGCAAGAAAGAGTGGCTTTTCTTTTTTTTTTTTTTCTTTGAAATATTCAATTAGATTCCTTGGATAAAAACTCTTGAAAAATTGACAGATTTTCCAAGAGGTCAATGTTTGTTGGCGGTTCAATTTTTTCCCAAAGAAACTGACGATTATTATTATTATTATTGATAGATTATACTCGTTCGATTTTATCCAATTTGAAAGGGTAACTGTAAATAATATATACATATCTCGTTTGTCTATTAACAGTTAATTGTGTTAATTAACGGTTAATGGTTTAATGTATAGTAACAAAGTTTATCATAGAGCGAGATATGAAATTGCGAAGGGAAAGAAAATTAGCTTATCCGGAATTAACGGAGAGAGAGGTTGAAGGAATGGGTGGGGGTTAAAAGGGCAGATTAGGAAGGGATGGGAGTGGCCGGAAACGGGGCCGATTATCAGTGTTTGGGAGAGACGGAGTTGGACGGTGTTATGTAAAAGTTAACGAAGAAACTTACGTGAAGATCACGTGCAGAATGTCACCAATGAGTCCGTTATGTCTGAGGAGGGAGTGCTCCGAAGTTTCGCAAATGGCCCTCAGCAGGCATTCGTGACCCTGATACCCGTAGCTGTGCACAAAGTCAGGGGAGCAAAGTGAAAAATAAAATAAGACCGTCCCGTGGCTGACCTACTACGACTTCTGGGTCACCAGAACCGTGAACCTATATATTTTCTTCTACGTTCCTCTACATTTTCCACGTTCCTCGCGTTATTCTATCACAGCGTAGAATAAAGAAGCTCGAATTTCGTCCATCCATAGCCGCGTTTCCCCAACTTTTTTCTTTTTCTTTTTCTCTTTTTTTTTTCCAGATAACGTTCGAATTCCCTCGTCAAATTTAAAAAAAAATGAAGAAAAAGGAGAAAGGAAAGAAAAAAAAAGGAAGCAAATGTGTGGACGAGAGACGATATTCGAGCTCGAACAATTTTAATATCCTAATCAATATCCGGATAAGTGATTAGAAGATGAAATAATATAAAATTCGATATATTTCCCCGAGAGATTTCTATTTTTCAAATTTAGAATCTTACTTATTATTATTATTATTATACACTATGAAAGGAATTCATTTCCCTCACTCACTTGTCAAACTTGTTCTCTATAACTCGATAAAGGGTGACCCTGTCCAAGCTTCTCCTCTTCCTTCGTTTTCCATCGTTGAGCCAGAGGTATTCGTCGGTTACGTTAGTGGGCAGATCGTACGTCGCCTCGAAGAAATCGGCTATGGAGATGGATTTGTAGGGATCCTCGAGCGGTATGGCCAACGCGACGAATATCTTGAATAAGAGAAACACAACCGTTTAACCATCACCTCTAACTTTCATTTCGTTCGCTCGAAATCGAATTTTAATTCCCCCCCTCCTCGTTTTTATCTCACTTCCTTGACACTCACGCCTAAGGTACTCTCTTCCGGAAACGTGAGGGATCGGATGGGGCGATGGAGGGTCTCCGCCAGCTTCGAATTCGGGGATCTCGAGCCGGTCGAATGGAGTATCAGCGCCAGATTCACCATCAAGAGGCTATAAAGCAAGATATCTTTTTTTTCTTGAATTGATAAACCAACTGGTGCACTCTTTCTCCGCAAGAGGCAATATTTCGATGACGCGTGCGCGCAAAAAAAAAAAGGAAAAAAGAAAGAAATGGCACGCGTATAGGATAGAAAGCGTGGAAATATTCTTCGAGGCGAGAAGAAATCATCGCGATATATAACCGGAATAGGGGAATAGGAAAGAGGGGGTTGGTGAGGTGGAGGGGAGGAGGAAGTCGATTAAAATTAGAAATTAAAAAGGCGGATAATGAAATTAAAGCCTCTTCGGTCGGATGAAAATTCATCGAACGATGTCGGAGGATCGTTTAATTCCCTTGGAGAAAGAGAACTTTTCAACGCGTGAACTCGTCCGGTTGAATCCGTTAACGAACGATAATCGGTTTACGTTTAATTATTGAACGTACAAAAGTTGGTCCCGATGGCTCGACATGCCTGATCTCAAGGGCACGTGAACTGCTAACACGAACAGGAGACTCGATTCTGAAGCTCTGCAGCTCTGTCTTCTCCGATCCATTTTCCACGGTAGAAAACCGGTTTCCTTGTTAACGATATTTGCCGTGTTAACGATAATTACGTGTAAACGAAGAGCAAGAGAAGATGGAAATGGCCGAGGAGGAAGGAGAAGAGAAAACGTGAGTTAGATCTGTACGTATTTCGAACCAACTATTATTATTCTTTGGTTGAAACAGGTTGGATCCGGACATCTGGGGTCCAAGTTTCATTAGCATTCCACTGAATTTCACGATGGAATTTAATTCTCTTCGATCGATTCTCTCCTCATCCTTTGCTAGATATTTTCCATCCCCATTGGGGGAGACGTTACAGCCACCCCCAATAAGGCGGTATCCAAAGTCAGCCAAAAACTTTCCCGTCCGCGTTAACAGGTCGATGGCGGCGCACCGTTTTGAAATGCAATTACGATTCTCGACGCGTGGCACGTCAGATATCGTGGTGGCCTGTGTGGGGTGGCGGTGATTAAAAAACTTCACCGATTTTAGCGTTAGCGTGGCGAGTAAAGAGGGGAGAAAAAAAAAAAAAAAAAAAAAAAAAAAATAGAGAAAAAGAGGACTATGCCAAGTGGAAATGCTGCTGGGGTTAAACCATGCATACATAAATGAGACCACTTTGCCGTGGATTATTCCCCCGTTTTTAATCCCTTTTTCTCGTTTACATCAATACACACGCTGCGCACGAGCTCATTCTCTGCTAACGAGTGCGCGTTCGTTTTTTAACCATTGGAACACGATGATAAACTGCAACAAACGTGGATAAGATTCGAAGAAAAAAAACAAAAAGAAAAGAAATCGAGAACGAGAATGCGGGGACGAAAATATATCCGCTCGACTCAATAATGGAAAAGGGACGATTAACTTCTCTTAACGAAGAGGATCGCATTATTTATTTATTTATCTAATATCTACTTCATTTTTCGTCGATAAAAATGTGATCATCGCAATACGTCAGAATACACTAAGTTCGAAATTAAAAATAATTAAGAATCCTGGAAAATTCGGAATTAGAAGAAAGTCGCGAGGAAAGGATAGATCAATTTCTATCTATTCGTCTATTTTCGATTACGAGTTTGGAATATTTCGCGGCTGTTCACAACGAAAGAAAAAAAAAAAAAAAAAAAAGGAAAAAAAAAAAGGAAGAAAGAAAAAAATACAGCGGCGCCTGAATATCTCCTGCCTCCTCGACCCTTTTGTATTTTTCTCTCGTCGTTTTGCTCCAGAAACGTTTATTCCCCGTGCATCGACCGCTCGTGCATGACGTATAGCGACACTTTTCCGTTTTCACAAACAGGTCGGAGACGATTGTTCCTCCTCAGGACGAAGTGCCTATTCACCGCAGATGCGTCTGTTACCTTTTTACGGGGACAGAGCGTCGCCATCGTCGTTGTTCCTCTTTTATCCAACCACCAACCATCATCGTTCGCCAACCATCTCTCGTTTCATAACCATTTCCTATCCAAAGTATAGCTAAATCCATCCTTCTCAACGGACGAGTACTTTCTCCATTTCTGAGATCCTGCCTCTAATACTTGAAAATAAATAACTTTATTACCGAGACAAATCGTCGAGATTTTTCGCTCGTAATGGGCCGCGATTAAAAACGCGATTCCTTCGAGTGCAGTTCTCGAAATGAATGGCCACGATTCGCCACTCCCTCTTTATCCTTAGACTCGAAGAAGAATACGAGATCCAAATTGGTGGAGAAACGATATCGTGGATGGTACGGGAAGGGAACGGGGGCCCAGAGAAAAATCCTCGATTTTTCCTCCTCCTCCTCTTTAATTCTCGATCGTGCCCTCTTTGTTGGTAAAATCGCGAGTCCATGAATAATGGATCACCGTGGGACTGAAAAAAAAAAAAAAATAATCCGTTTCTATAAGTATGATTATAATTTCTGTAATTTCTGGAATTTGCATCCATGTTCCCAATTGCAACGGAAGGAAAAAATTTTTCCTTCCATTTCTTTTCAACGATCTCTCTTGCTTTTATCGTTGTTGCTTTTATTATTGTTGAAGTTTGTTAAGATTTTAATTTTTCTTTTCTTTTTTTCCAAAAAATTTATCGAGTCGTAGATAGATTTGCCAACGGCACGGCGTTCCATTTATTCATTTACGCTCCTTGTTTTTCTTCTTCTCTCTGTTCCTGTGGCCTGGACAGATGTTATCGAGGATAAATTTAAACGAAGCGTAACGGGATTATTTGATACATAATTCGATCCCCATCGACGATCATCGTGCCTGTTTCAATAAATTCGAAGTTCTTTAAAACCTTTGCATCATTCAACGAGTTTTAAAGATGCCAGATATCCAAACGATAAGCGATAAAACTCGATTTACATAATCCACGAAAAAAAAAAAGCTCCCATGAATTAATAACCGGTTTCTCCTCTTCCTCTTTGCTCGGAATAATTGAATTCTATGCTGGTTACGTGTCGATGAATTTCAACGTGGATTTATTAGGTCACACCCTATAGTCGGCGACATTATTCCTATTATCCCCCTATTCCCTCCGTGTTTCTTGAATTTCGGATTAAGGATAGATACTTTCGAGATGCTCTCCACTTTTGATCGTGGAAAATTTATTATTAATTTATTTGACCGAGGGGAACGGACGAGAGCTTTCGAAAATATCGAATTCGAAGAAATATTTAATTTCAATTGGAAGACGATCCGAATTTAACTGACCGATCGAATTTATAAGCCTGCAAATCGTACAATTATCACGAACACTCGTTATTTCACTCGTTCCATTCGAATAATTTGCAGCGGTTAAGCTGTGCTATAATAAAATATATCGATCGTGCAAATGGCCAGCAGGATTTATACGACGCGGATTTATAGCAAAATTTATCTTTGAGGAAAGCGTTAACGGTAGTAAACAGTTTCCCTGCAACGATGTATTTTTCAAAAATTTTTTTTCCCGACACCTTAAATATAATTAATCGTTGGTATCCATAAATCCTGGATTTCTCTAAGAGCCATCCACGAAGGGTGGAAGAGTCCTGTTGCATTGCGTTTGTCAAATTTTCAAATGTCGAAAAAAGGGAAAAATTCCAAAACACGTAGAATTGATGATTAGTTAACACAATTTTTTTTCCTGCAACCAATTAACGCTGAAAGCATCGAGTGACATCGAGAAGCGAAAAAACACGATTTATTCGTTCCGTATATATATATATATACACAACGTGCACGAGAAAAGCATCGAAAAGCATCGAGGAGCAAAGTTGAATATTAACGGGATAAGAAATTAATTAATTAAAATTTCGAATAAAATTACTTCAAGTACTTTAACTTTATTTAAAATCCTGGAATAACCTTTCTTTCCCTTTTTAAAAAACGGTTAACCGCTCTTCCCGTAATCTCGCCTGTTCAGGCATTAACCTTGATAATTCGACGTTAATCGACGCGTTGAATAATAAATTATTCATTGCGAAGTAATTTTATTCTTAAAACGTTAATATTTTATCGCCCATATCGCTCTCTGTCGATCTCTTGCGATAAACTCGCAAATAAACCCGTATCAACCGTGCTTTTTCCAACGAAAAACAGAGACCGACCCCTCCTCCGAAATCGAAGAGAAACGAAGGGATGAAAAGCTGGTCGAAGGAAACTCATTCTTTCCTACGAATCCGCGCACCACGGTGCATTTCGTATCCGGTATAGTTGTTAGACTTTCGCCTCGGTATCCACCGCGAGTTCCGGCGGTCTGTAATTTCCTCTGAGCGTCGACCATTCTAATTTTAATGACAGAGATGTAACGTTCCCACGGCCAACCCCGGTGAGAGACCGCGGTAAATCCGTTCAAAGGCTGGCCAAAATTACGATCCCCGTTCTAAACAGGGATAACGCGATCCACAATGAACCGACTGCATTCTTCTTCTTCTCCTCTCCGTTGGAATAATGATTATGATAATAACAATAATAATAATAATAATTATAATAACAACAAACGAATAGTCCCGGAAGTTTGGCGCGTCGAGAGAGCGATTCGATGCGCAAACGGATTATTAAAACTCTTTCTGCTTCTGCTGCTTGTTTATTCACACTTGTGTTGAAGCGAATTCATTATTCCGTTTACCGTTTATTAAACGTACTTTCTCCGCGCGCGCGAAAATAATCGCGTATGCATATGCATTTCCCAAAGGGATTTCTGGCCGCATTTTCAAATTTTTGGAACCGAATTTTTCCCTCCCGCGTTCGTATATATGCGTTGATAAGTAAATTATATCGTATGATTATTCGTAAGCGTTATATCTTATCTATCGAAAATATTGGGCGAATTGTCTGTCGTTTTTTTTTTTTCTTTTAGAGCGTTGGAATTGGAAAATCATATTTTATTTTAATATATTAACGACGAAATTAGCAGATATCTCTAATATCTGTAACATTACAACGTGAACGATTTACCATCTGTATGATCATAGTTCGTCATACGTTTCGGTCGAGAATATGATGATACATTTATTACGAAAATTTTCGAACTATTTTTTTCGAACGCTGTACCCCGAAAACCGTTTATAGCCGTGAAAAATGACCGTGATTTTCGACTTCAACGACCCAGAGAACCCCCGAAAAATGATAAATTTCGAACCGAAAATTTGCAACGCCCATCCTGCTACGATTTTTAAATTGAATGTCACGTCGAATGGAAAGAAAATTAACTCGTGAACTCGTAAAATTTATCTCGCGTAAGTTTTCTTTTTTTCATAAAAGATTAAGAAGCTTCGAATTCGTCACCAAATTCGATAGCGTTAACACGTAGCAAACACGATACACTTCGCGGCCAGTCGAGAAATTTCGATATTAGCGTCAATTTAAACGGTTCCGTCCAGGTAGAACGGTACGAAAAAAATAGCGAGCTATAATTGAAGCAAATCGCTAACACGGGACGCGATAACTAGGATCGGAAGTAACGGGGAGTGGAGCGTTTTCGAGGGGCGATTACGGTATCTGCGGAGATCGCGCGCACACGGTGTTGGCAATTTATCGTTTCAATTCCAACGTTGCAAACCTCGTTCACCGTAGCCAATGGTAACGTGGAACGCACAATCCCCGCGCCTCCTCCTCCTCCTTCTTCTTCTTCTTCCCAATACCGAATTCAATGGGGAGTAAGAAGGAGGGAGGAGTGCCGCTATTTTTTAGGATTTCCTCGTCCAGATGGGGATAAATTGTCGCCGAAATAAACTGGCCACGTGAAAGCGTTCATCGGCCTGTGGGAAGACGAATGAACCGCAGTTACCGGCTCCGACGAGATGTGTCCAATCCGTGAAAAGGATGCCGAGTCGATGTTTTCATCCGGAAGTTGGATTGGAAGATTGCGAAATTTCTATAAATTTTCCGCTTCGAAACGAATGGATTATTTATTTAAATTTACAATAACAATAACATAATCCGCTATATTTGTCGATATTCGAAATTTTAAGGAAATTTCCATACTCGATCGATCTGTCCTATTGTAATATCCCATCGAGGAATCTACTCGGCCGACTTGCAAACAGGCAATTTTCGTTCCCTCCTTTGTGACCAAACGATCGGTGTCAGCCGATTCACGGGCGGCTCGATAACGAGTGGAACCATCCCTCCGACATATTTGATCCGCAAATCCGATTCTTTCTTCTTCCTTTCCGAACCCAAGACCGGCAACTACTCGGAATCAGCCGCCTCCCTATTCAAAAGGGGAAATGAGCGTCGGGGACAGCTAGCGAATAAAGAAGGGAAAAAGAGAGAGAGAAAGGGAGAGTGAGAAAGAGAGAGGGGGAGGGATTTCGATCCTACCGTCTATTCTTTCGATAATCACCTTTCATAACCGCGTTTTTCTCTCTCATTAGCCTGGCTTGGTTTTCATCCATCCGAGACACCATCCGCGTTTATATTCGTGGGGAAATTCTCCACTCGATATCAGCGGCCGTTTCGAATCAATCCCCAGGGTGCTTTGCTTCCGAGGGGGATATATTCCTCTCTTCCTCTTTCTCCGCGTTGTTAGAGAAGATTTATGACTGTGACGAAAAGTCCAGCGCGTAATACGAATATAATGGAAATATCGCGTATGAAACGCGACGAAAATGATACAATTGGAGGAAAAAGGGAAAGGAAAGGAAGAGTCAGAGTCGATGCGAATCGAAGATAACCCTGGATTTAAATCCGAATATTTTCGAAGAAAGTACTCGTAAAACATTCTTGGATAAAAAAAAAAAATATTATTTCTTTAAAGAGGAATCGAGAACAATTCGACGAATGTTGTCAGGAATGTTGCTGATGAAATCGATCGTCGCCGATTAATTTCACCGTGAACGAGGTATCGTTGGTGAAATGCATCCACTTCGCCACATTACCGCGATCGAAGCCGGTTTATTATTCGGCCGAACTCGCGATACAGGACTAATTGGGTCTATTAACGAGCACTCGGCATCCGGTTGGCGGTCGATCATGAGACCTCGAAAAGATTTTTCGACGCATTCGCTCTGCTACACTTGGACGATCGCCATGCGGCGTTTCTTGCTGCTTTCGCTTCTGTTCACGAGTCAACATTCTGGATCGTGTCTCGAACGCGACAAGAGGTATTTGGTGTTTCCAACGCCTGGAACGAACGCACCGACCAAAGTCCAGGTACTCGGGTAACCGTGTGATATCTTTGCCTTCTTTTTTCTTTTTTTTTTCTTTTTTTAAGTAAGCAATAATATTTCTTTTTTTTTTTTTCTTTTTGGAAAATTCGAGTCCAACGCGATTATACGTGTTCGTGCATATATCGTTTTCAATCGTCGACGATTTCACGGTTTAACAAACGAAGGAAGTTATCTATGACGAGGGATAAAGTTTACCCTGATAGATTATATCGACGGGTAATTGCACCGTAATACTACGAATTGTCGCTTCAGTCGACAACCCTCTCCCCCTTCCCATACGTTTAATTGTGCCAGTGATTCTAATTGGATATCGATCGCTAATTGTTCAAGCGATGCGCATACCGCGTTAAACGGTGAAAGTGTGAACGTACGTTGAAGGGAGGGGCGTACGTTTCTAAAGACACAACGGTGTCTGACTCGGTGATGGCTCGATAGGCGTTTCATACACGCAATCGCGATGCAATTATCTGTAATTGCAGCGTTCGCGTTATTATAGTTTGCGATTCAACCGTGGAATTGGACGATCGATCGATAATCGTAATTCCATGGGAATTGTAAACGATTACGAACCGTGTACAGGCGGAAGTGGCGGAAAACAACGATATTAACGTTGTTGGGAATCGAGGCGATAAGACTCGATGAACGGATTTATATAATTATAAAATCGTGCGCATTTATCGTGTATACAATCTTTAAAAAAAAAAAAAAGGAAAAAAGCAATCGTTCGCGAATTTATTTACATTCCTCTGGAGTAAGAATAAGCAATAAATTTTCTCTTTTCGAGCACGCAAAGAGCAAGCAAAAGTATAAAGAAAATAAAAAAAGAATTTCGATTGTAAACTTTAAAAATTTCTAAAATACGATTCGAATCGAAGAGGAAATAATTTTTCGTATTTTCAATTTAACTTGGATTCGTAAGTGAAGTTGTCATCAATCGATGAATGGTACGAATTATTCCCGTTCACTGGCAGATGATTCGCGTGATAATTCCCTCCCCTCCCACCCTTCTTCCTGCATCTAATTTCGTTCAGTCGAATGTCACGAGCTAACTAGCTAGAACGAGAACGAGGCTGCCAGTTGGGATTCGATTGCCGGTTATTATAAACGATCGATGACACCTTCGTGTATTTGAAAACCGTTCCAGTTCATCCTCGGCCTCGGTTTACCCATGGAAGTCGACGTCAGCACGATTATCGGATATGTGATGAAATTTAATTACGCCCTGCCCTATAACGCCTCCTACTTGACGGATTCATACGTTCGCTATGACAGATCGATCAGCCCCGGTGTCGAGGTCGACGGGGA